CTTGTGCGGGATCATTTCGAGCACAGCACCAGCGACATTAAGAAATCGTTTGTATGGTCACGCAGTTAGGCTTCAGCACTTTCAAATTAAACCCATTTTTGGAAGCAGCCATTTCCTATTTGTAATACACAACACAATTTTTCCCGCATAATAAAAATATTTCAAAAATAGTGTTTACTGTTGGGTGGTACCCAGCATTACCAAAAAAACACAGGTATTTCCCCAACAGGATAAAAGAAATTGTCTGAGTGACTATATGGAACTGTATGGATGAGAGAAGCTTAAAACAGAAAAAAAAAAAATAAAGAAGTTGCGGGTTATATCAACAACGAGAAGAAACGCGACGATGATAAAACAATTGATCAAAGCATCAAAGTGCGTGCTTGTTTTATTTGCATTGGCGTAGCTAGGACTTTTTTGGAAGAGCTGGGAGAAGGGACATGTCTCAAAATCTTGATTACAGGGACTTTTTCGAAATTTTGAGGAAAAAAAGCAGTGAAAACAAATTTTTTTAATTCATTTATCAACATTTTGGCAGGCAACAAAAAATGTGAAATATTAAAGAGGTTACATTGAAATTTCCGGGACAATCAGCGTAGAGATTCAATTTTGCTGATGGCACAGACATGCACTCATAAATCAAACACTTTCCTTAGCTACATTTTCCCATTCTTGATTATGTTCACCAAATATGAAACAGAGAAGCCAAAAAATTGAAATAACATTAACTTTTGGAGGAAAAATGGCTCTTTGTTATACCCTTTCTAAGAAGAATTGGCTACTCCTTGCTTATTATCTTGTAACTGGGAAAAGATAGTTCCCTTAAAGAATATTACCGGCGAGCACGTACCCGACTTTTAACAGTGTGAGCTATCATTTGTATGGTACTATTGTGGCGTCCATTACGCAAGAATGTTTTCCGGGATTCTTCATAAAGTTCAAATTAATCAGAAAATTAAAAAACTGTATGCGGGAGACGCAGGTACATGAAATCTAGTACATTTTGTTAAATTTTTTGTTGTTTTTGAAGTAGTGCGGTAGAAATTCCCTCTTCTCCAGGCTCGTTCGTATAATTTTTCCAAATACTGAGCCAAATGGGCTGGGCATAGCACTTCAAAATGAGACCAAAACTTTTCGGGAGCGTTTGACTACTCAGAAGAATTCCAGCTACAAAGCGAAATTTACAATCCATCCATGTCAAGGCATTTGAAATCGTAAACTCACTATCCTAAACTATAGAAAATACATAACAGGTAATATTGCGCTTAGAAGCTTGGCAGTACTTATCGGCATGTGTGATGAAAGAGAAGGAACCATTTGAACAAATGACATTAAAATCAAGTTTCAGGGCTTTTTCGGCTGCTCTCTGGATTGCTCGCTTTGACACTCCCACATCATCTGACAGATTCTGTAATAAAATCAATGTCTGCTTTTACAAAACATCAATGTTTTCAGTTTTTTCACCGGCTTGCAAGTGGACATGTAGGTCTGGAAGAAACTAGGAGATAGCTATGCGTTTTAGCTTCCTGGATTCTAATTTATAGTTTAACTGCTTCGATTGCTTATCAGCGAGCAGTACTCACAAGAAATGGCATCATAACGTCACCTATCGTACCCTCAGCCG